ACGTTACGTTCGTTAGTGTAGTAGGTAGTAGGTACGTACGTACTACGTACGTACGTACGTACGTACGTACGTAATACTACTACTACTACTCTCTCTTCTCTCTCTCTCTCTCTCTCTCTCTCTCTCTCTCTCTCTCTCTCTCTCTCTCTATAGGATAGTGAAACAAAATTATTCATATAAAGACTCCTGATCCACATACCACCACATAATATGCACAAATCTTGTCACAATCAAGAAAAAAATTGGTCACCAAATTTGTGCATGAATCAAATGAGAACTTAGCTGCCGCCCCATCGATCCCCATGAGTGGAATGGTAATTGTGACAACCTAAATAATCCATGAGGGTAATCAGAATACTGTCCTAGAACAAATTTAGAAATGCCTATCTTTCTTTGCATAGAAATCACTCTTTCTTCATGGTATATCTAGAAACTAATTGGAGAGAATAGGGCTACACACGAGCTATCTGAAATAAAATTTCCATTGCTTCATATTTTCTAATTTAATCAGATTCACCATAAAATAGAAGTAATATCCCAACACTTAATTATTTGATATATATGACCTACTTGATTCTGTATCTTCAAGAGAATCAAGTATCTTAGACCAGCAATAGAGGTTCTCAATGGTCTCGCAAAATATTCATCCCCACAGAATATGCAAGACTTTTTGTAAATATTACAGGTCTAAATGACATAAGTTATAGTTAGTGTGGTACTGCAGTGAAATTTTTGCTAAATAGACAGCTTGGAGACTGTGATTCTAGCCTTAGTCATGAACTAATTTATGAGATGCACAGATAAGCTGAGATCACCAAAGAGTCTTTTACTAGGTATAAAGTTCAGACAAATTTCAGCAGTATGATTTGGAGGAGAAATATCTAAAAAGGAAAAAGAATACAATGGAAAAACACTGAAATCAAACATTCAACACCTAACAATCTTCCTCAAATCCATAGATATCTCAAAATAGAGAAAAATTAATGGATACCCTAAAAAATGTAGAAGTACAATTCATAAAATGGAAAAACTCCCAACTCTAGGGAGGGCCACACTTGACACCTTGCCCATGTAGATACCAGAGCCTGGATTAAGGGGGATGGGGGAATATCTTATGATATTACTTATGAAACTGCCCCTCAAGTGCACATGTCCCTGTGGATCCCTCCATTACCCATGAGATTTTGAGGCCCAACCTAATATCCAGATCAGAAGAGAGCATATGGAATATAGAACCATAAGGATTATTTTTAGTTAATCTGTGCAGAAAAGTGTGTGTTAGAATGAAGATTAAATATTTCTCTATTTTATCACCTTGTATCATGCTTTAGGATGTTTGACATGCATGTATATGACCTGTTTGAGGTCAAAAAATAAGATAAGATCATTTGGATGATCCAAAACACAAACTTTTGAAGGATTGATGGTATTTGACAAGGATGTCATGAATAAAAATGACAAGATTCCAGTCCCAAGAATAGGCTTATTTACTCAGAGGCTTTCCAACCCAACAATCACTTAAATAAACTCAACTATAATTGAACTCCTAAAGAAAGCATGGTCCAGCTGATTTTGATGGCAATGACTAATGACTAAAGGGGATAATATCATGATATTATTATGTACGATTTGGCTAAATTGGCTTTTCCAGGAATAACAATTTGCCAAAAAAAGGAGATGCATAATACAAATTACAAACTAAATGTGTGTGGAAGCACAACGTACTCTGCTCAGGGAGTAGAACCTTCATTATGACCCCTGGATCAATATTGTTCATGCACTTGAGGAGCTAATTCGGTGGCAAGTCATACACCAAACTTGTGGGAACTAATTAGAGACTTGGGCAATAGGGATTTTTGGCCCCAACAAGTTTACATCATTTTCCTGTTTCAATGTAAGTGTCATCATTGTTTGAGAAAAATATTCATTATTAAAAGAAGAAAAAGGAAGATCTACATAAATTGGGATTTTTAGTTCGATAGATACTAAGATTCAAAATAAAAAGAGCCTTTCCTCAGAAAGTGATCTCATGTAGGTGGACCTTGGAGTAGAAGGGCTAACAGCTTTATAGGTGATAGAAACCATGAGGAGGAATGGGAAGCAGAGATTCCAGCATTGTCTCAGTCGGTCTATTCTGGGTAAACTTAGTTTTGTGATGACCAGAATTTCCCTGTCAGCTATCAAAAAGTTTGATTCACCTCCTTAGTTCATCATAATCATCATCATCTAAGCTTTATTCCAACTATAATTTGCTACACGAATCCTATTCCCCCCATTCCGCTCTATCAAGGATCGTAACCTCAGTAAGACCATAGGTCACCATATCTCTTCTTACTACTCTCATCCATGTTCTTTTGGGTATTCTCAATATCTTTTAGAGTGTTCCACTTGAACTAACTCATCCCTTCTAGATACATCATAAAAATAAAATCTTGACGATTGGCAATGCTATAGCTCATTCTTGTAAGCGGTGTTCATGTTTTGTAAAGATGAGTACAAGATAATGGAGCATCACTTCGACAATAGTAGATATGGACAAGAGATTTGGAAAGAAATGGTGGTCTTTATTAAGTTTTCAGTGATTAATACCTGAAGTTTTAGCCTTTTTCTGGAAATAACAAGCAACAACTATATGGAGGCCAAGAAGTAAAGATCTTTGGTGGTTCTGTTTCATGGCCAACTATTTGGATGACAAGGAAAGAAATGAACAGTGGAATCCATTGTCAATGTTATATTCATTAGGAAAGTTTAATCGATACCACGTATTCTGCCTACCACGAAGGGACCACAATGTAAAGCAGCAACCCCTTCTTCCCTATGAATAAGAATTAAATCTTAACTCAAGCACTGAAGACAATCCAAGTTGGCCGTTAAGGAAAAGTTGTTCCTAACAAAAATTGCAAATTTGAATAGTTTTACATGGGAATAGAGGCTCATGTAGAAGTGACTGCACAGGAAGTTGCTACTAATAATTTGGTGACGAGTTTCATTTTAGGCATGTATAATCAAGGAGAAGTTACTAAAACAATTAGAATGGGCATTTCAAATACCAACAAGCATTTCATGTGCTATGCAAACTTTTCTTTCTTAATACAATACCATCAATAGGAAGCTGCTTCAAGTTGCCTAAATACAATTTACTCAAATTTTTGGACCATACCTAGGATACTAGTTAACCTTAAAACATATTACAAATGTTTGGTTTTGGAGATCTATTTCAGAAACTACCATATAAGGAGTTGAAACATACATTATGCCCTTCCCCAAATATGATATCCTGTCCTTTTATATTATTCATAATCAAAGTTGGGAACCCAAATGGAAGAGTTGGTCATTCTGGAACCAAACACATTGAAATCGAAAGTCAGCCACTCAAATCTGTGTCCCATCATTCTAAAGCTAACCCAAATCTGCCCATAGGGGTGAGAAAATTATTGTGATTCCTTGGAAAATATAGATCCCATATGCATTTTTCTCATTCCCTTTCTCTCCTTCAGATTATCCTTCTAAGCTTTGTTGAGAGCTTCGTGTGGTGCCCCATCAACAAATTCAACGTGTCAACATTTTGATGAACTAGGAAAAGACCCCAGGCTTAATTGGTTAGCTCTTGACAATTGGCAACGCTACGTCCTAGGCTCAATTCCTACAAGGGAAGGGGCCCTCTCCCCACTGACTCACCCAAAATAAAAACATTTTGATGAACTCCTTCTAAATGTATATTACTTGGAATGTTGAAATACATATTTATTTTTAAAGAAGCTCCTTCTGAATGTAGTAGGTGCTTTTCACGGTAATTTCTAAATAAAATTTACAGAGTATTTCTAAATTAGCAAAGAAATTATTTTTAAGAGAAAAATAAAATTTTATTATTCACAAGGAGTTCTAATTTAATAAATCACGCATGCAGTATGTGCCCATAGGAATAGAAAATTTGCAAAATAGTTATACGAATAGAGCACCAAAGTTATAGATAACATAATATAATACAATACTAACCTATGAATTTAAGATTTTAATTCAATATATTATATTTTTAAATTTTACCTTTTTTATTTTTATCTTTATTTTAGATTTTTTTAATTTTTCATTTCATTACATTATATTATAAATTATATTATGATTTTTATCTTTCTTTTTTTATTAACATAAGAAAATATATAATAAATAATATGTAATATATAATATATACTATATAATATATAAGGGACATGATAATATAATGAAATCACAAGGTACGCATGTCTAGAAAGAGAGGGGGAGACCCAAGTTCCCTGCTTTTCTTTTGAGGTTAGAGAGAGAACCATGATTCCTTCTTTTCTTCTTAGAGAGAGAAACTCAAGTTCCTGCCTTTCTTGGTCATGCATTCTCTCTCTCTTCTTTCATAGACGTCATTTGCTCTTAAGATCTGTTACTTTCTCTCGTCTTTATCTCTGAGGTGGTTCTTTTTCTTACTGAAACCAGTAGGGGGAAGAATGTGTCATTGTTTCTCTTTCTTCATGTGGTTATGGAGATAGCTTCTGGAGAGGTTGTGACAGAAAACAAACCTACAAACTTTGTTTTTTATCAGGTTTTGAGATCTTTCTGAACTCTCAAAGCATCCTATCGTTTTGATTTTGAGCTGAAATACTTGGATTGCATTAAAAGTTCCTATTTTTAGTAACAGCAGAAAAGCTATAGTGATCCCATTTTGATTACAGCGGCTTTTAAACTGGATTGAGAACGATGGAAATGAAGTTGGGGTCTTTAGATTTGTCTTCTATGACGCATTTTCTTCTTGTTCTCGATGTTTTCATGGTTTCCAAGTCAACTAGCACATTTTCTCCCATTGATAATTACCTTTTAACATGTGGGTCTTCTCAGAATGTATCTTCACAAGGTCAGGTCTTTGTTTCTGATTCATCCCCATCTTCTCTTCTTCAATTAAATAGAGGCATCACTGAAAGTTCCAACTCTACTGCTCCTTCCCCACTTTATAAGTCGGCTAGGATTTTCACTGAATCCAGCACCTATAAATTCAATATCAACCAAAAAGATAGGCATTTAATTCCATTAAACTCTGATAATTAGGGAATTGGAGTTGAAGGAATCTGCTTCCAGATGCCATAAATTTGTGTTCAAATCAATTCATCAAATAAATGGAAAATACTATTGTAAGACAGGTATCAAACTCGTACATTGGAGAAAATTCTGAGCAACAAGTTTCGTAACCCACAAATGAAGTTGGAATTTGATCAAATACTTACACTGTATCACAAGTCCAAGACTCTACAATTGGCTCCACAACAAATCTCGAACACAAAAAAAATGTTAGTCATGAAGGAAGCATCTAAACGTATTCATGGGATCGCCCAAATACCCTAGAAACACAATTTTTTCTATTTCCTAGGGATCTAGGTTACATCAAATTTCAGCAAAAGTTTGGTTCATATCCCCCACGAAAGAATTCTACACAATTACGAAAGAGAGTTCACTACTTCAGATCCAATAGATGTGTCGCTCAGCTCCTCCATAAAGTATCCATTCCATACAAATAAAATGGTGTAATTTCTAGTGTTTGCTAATAAGAAATCTATTTCAAATCACAGTACCACATGAACGGTGAACCAGAAAAAAAAAAGCTTGAGAGAAACAGAGACCAAAATCAAAGCATTTCCAAACAAAGAAATGGCCCACATTGATCAAAATAATAGAGAAACATGCCGCTTGATTTTCTAAGACAGAGAGGAGAGAGAGAGAGAGAGAGAGAGAGAGATGTGTTTGTATTTGGCACTATAACCTGCATTGGAAGATGGATTCATGGTTCAGTGGTATTTGTATGAGAAGGGGCAGCACGGAGCTCTTCGATGAGGCCACTGAGCTCTTTTCTTGAGGATTCCCTTCCAAACATAAACCCATACCTGCACTTTACCATCCTTTTGAGCATTAAACAAAAGATTGATCCAAAATCAGAGTCAGAGAAAGACAGAGAATAATACCAGAACGAAATAGCAGAGAAGACGCCAGCAGCTGCTACGGTCTGAAAGAGGGTGAATCGCTTCTCCATTTTTGGAAATACTGCAAACAAGAGAGAGAGAAGAATAACAGTCTTTGGGGGAGTAACAGAAAACCTCGTGCCCCCTCTCTCTCTCTACAGACCAAAATGCCTCCCCCACCTCTCTCTCTCTCTCTCTCTA